TCTCGACTTCGATATTCCCGACTGCAGCGGTGATTTGAAGGAACTCATCGATCTTGTTCCTCTGCGTTTCGAACACATGCACCACCGTGACTGGAAGCATCCTGATGGGCGCCCATGGGTGCCGCATCACCCACATCCGCGCGAAACGGCGCTGCATGATCCCGACCCAGACGCCATCTGCAGAGATTGTCATACGCCCACAGCCTCGACGAGCGCGATCGCCGGCCGTGGCCTTGCCGCCATCGCCGAAGCAGAGCGGGAAGCGCCGCCTGAAGAAGGGCTGTTTCACTTGGAGCTCGAGACGGCTACGCGCATCGTCTTCGGAACGGAGGAAGCTCCCCTCCCAGGACCTGCATCACAACACCTTCGCAGAATGCTGCGCGGCGTAGGCGTCGGGACCTTCGATGCGGAAGGAAATCCGCGACCCTACACACAGGAGAAATTCCTGGAGGTCTACCCTCATCAGCGCGACCCTGCGACGAAACTCACCGTCGCACAAGAGGAGGATCTGGCGCGCCGCGAAGCGGAAGAACTTCGCCGACGGGGCCTTGCAGAGTCACGCGGAACATTCGCCTGGAGCGGATGGGGCGACGACGAGAGCGCCTCCAATGAAGGGGGGTGGGGCAACACCGGCGGATCGGGAGCCGCAACTGGCGGCTAGGGAGCAGACACTGGCGGCAACACTAGCGGATGGGGCGCCACATCTGGCGGCGAGACGAGCGGTTGGGGAGCCTTCCGCGAGGACCAAAGGGGGGAAGAAGAAACAATTGAGGAGGCCATTGAGGCCGAACCTCCTGTGGTCCCTCTTGGTCGTCCCCCGCGTCGCCCTGCACCTGCACTTCCCCCACCTGATATCCCGCCAGGAAGTGACCCTTGGGACACTATCGACTGGGGGAACGAACCGTCAACCCCGCGACGTTCTGTCTACGGGCCTGCCCCCGAACCGCGCGAACCAACATTCTTCCCAGGAACCAACCCTGGAACCAATATCCCTCTCTCTGTTATTCTTGACAGGGAATTTCTCGCCCTAATGCTAACAACGGCGAACGGAGAAGATGAAGCAGAAGAAGCACCGGCGATTCTGCAGCCGGCACCTGATGAGGATCTCGCAGAAGCACTCGCGCGCGCTACAAGCGCACCTCCGGATTCCGCGCTGACGATGCCATCTGGCACCAGCGCCTAGGTCACCCTTCGCGCGTGACCCTGAAGTACTGTATCGAGGCCGGCGTCTTCGCACCTGGCGCACTGCTGCGCCCTGATGGCTCCGAAGTAAGAGGCGGAACTCACCCGCGCACCTGCACCATCTGCCCCGAGGTCGCGCTGAGTCACCAGCCCTTCCCCTTGCTCGAGCCAGGAACCAATCGCTACGCTAAGTTGGAAAATGTTTACAGTGACTTTCTCAACGTAGGACATTGCGGCATCAACGACGAGCTCTACACTCTCACCTTCGTCGACGCTGGAACGCGCCACGTGTGGGTCGTAAACGTGGAAGCACGCAGCAGGGCATACGAGGCATTCCGCTTGTGGCTGGCGCACGCACAGTGGCAATCCGGGGAGAAGTTGAAGATCTGGCAGTCCGATGGCGCGGCGGAGTTCAGGAGCAAGGAGCAAAAGGGGATCGAGCATCACATTTCCCTCCCCTATGCACACCAACAGCAGGGCGTAGCAGAGCGCACGAATCGCACTCTCATGACGAAAGTACGGGCGCTAATGAGGCAGTCGAAGCACTCTCATGACGAAAGTACGGGCAATCGGCTTCCGCCGATCCACTGGACCTACGCAATGCATCACGCCGTACGGGTGCACAACCTGCTGTCAACCACCGCGATCACCGGCAACTCCTCACCACACCTGAAGTGGACGGGGAGGAAGGGTGACACATCCATGCTCCGCGTGTGGGGGTGCATGGTCCAATATCGCCCGCCGACATCAACCATCGGGAAATTCAAGAGCCGCGCGCGCTGGGGGATCCATCTCGGCATCAGCCACGAACACAAGGCGTGGATCATTCTGGACCTTCTAAGCCAGAAAGTTAAGAACGCACGCGACGTCATCTTCTACGAGCGCCTCTTCCTCCAGCAGTTCCGCGAAGTCGAGGAGACGAACGCGAACCGCGTCTACGCCAATGACGGCCACAGCTACGCCTCACCTGAGGACGAAGCCGCAGCAGCAATTCTGGAGCAGGACCCCAGAGGCGAGTTCACGAGAGGCGATCGACGCGATGACGACGACGACGACGATGATTCAGGAGAAGGAGGAGCGGGCGCAGCAGGAGGCGCAACAGGAGGAAGCGGAAGCGGAAACGGCGGAGGAGCAGCACCATCAGCCCCACCAGAACCAGAAAGCGACGACGACGATGTGCAGGAGGTCATCCCGCAGCATCGCCACGACAGCACCGTCACCGGAATGCAACTCCTCGGACTCCATGCCGCTACCTCAACGACGCCGCGCGTCATCGAGCCCAAGAACCCACGACAAGCACTCACGGGACCTCACAGCAAGGAGTGGCGCGAGGCAATGGATGCGGAGATCAGGGCACTCGAGTCACGCGACACCTGGGTACTCGTCGATCGTGCAGCAGTGAAGGGGAGAAGGATCCTCTCCGGCAAGTGGGTCTTCCGCGTGAAGACCAGAGCTGACGGGACGATCGAGCGCTTCAAGGCGCGCTGGGTAGGACGCGGCAACGACCAGAGGCACGGGATTGACTTCGATCAAACGTTTGCGCCGGTGAGCCGTCACACCTCCGGTAGGATACTCCTCGCCATCGCTGCCGCACGACATCTGCCGCTCCGCCAGATCGATGTCAAGAATGCATTCCTGTACGCGCTCGTAGATGCAGTAATCTACGTGGAGTAGCCGCACACGTACGGCGAAGGGGATTCGCGGGTCTGCCAGCTGCGGAAATCACTTTACGGGATTAAACAGGCGCCGAGACTCTGGCAGCAGTATCTGCATAACATACTGCTTGAAATCGGGTTCAAGCAGCTGCCTCACGATCCTGGGATGTATCGCCGCGATTTCCGCGACGAATACATCCTACTCACGGTCTACGTCGACGACCTCCTCTACACAGGGTCAAGTAACGAGCTGCTTGAGCAATTCGAGAAAAACCTCGCAGGGCGCGTCGACATCACCTGCAACCATGACGTGAAGCAGTTTCTCGGGCTCAACATCACCTACTCGCTGGAAGCCATTCATCTCTCAGCAGCGAAGTATGCTGAAGAGCTTAGCAAGCGCTTCAACATTGCGCCTGCACCACTCTCCACCCCTTACCGCACTCCAGGACCCAACCACAAGCCTGACAACAAAGCCATGTCCCCTGCTGGACTTCACACTTACTAGCAGCAGTTGGGATGCCTGCTCTTTGCATCTGTTACCTGCAGGCCCGATCTTTCCTACATCGCGAGCCAGTTGGCTCAGTACTCCCGCAAACCAACGGCTGAGAATCTACTAGATCTCCAGCGGGCGCTTCAGTTCTTCATCTCCACGCCCAGTGTCGGGCTCTGCTACTCCACCATCCCAACTTCATCCTTCAACCTCATCGGCTACGTGGACGCCGATCACGCCGCTGACCCTGACAATCGACAGTCCAGGACAGGATTCCTTTTCCGCCTCGAGCCCAGCGGCCCCATCTCCTGGAATTCACAGAAACAGGAGCTGGTTGCCCTGTCATCAGCGGAGGCTGAATTCATTGCAGCAACAGCAGCCGTTCGCGAAGGCCTCTACCTTCAGGAGCTGCTGCAAGAGGCGAAAATTCCAGCCTCGACGAACTTTCGCCTGCACTGCGACAACCAGAGCGCGATCAGGATCGCGAACAAGCCGAGATTCGTCAACCGCACCAAACACATCGCGCTGCGGTACTTCTTCGTCAAGGACGAAGTTGACAAAGGCAAGGTTGACCTAACCTACTGCCCTACGGGTGACATGGCAGCTGACTTCCTCACGAAGAAGCTGTCACGTCAGCAGTACCAGCACTGCTCCGAACTCAGCGGAGTAGTCAAGCGGGTCAAGACTCGCTACGACCAGGAGTGAAGGGGGGTGCTACGAATGGAAATTATTGAAACACTACTGTGCACTCCTCACCGCAGCAAACGAAGCACGCACTACCAAGAGTGAAGGCGAAAGGGCGCAAGTGATGCGAAGAGTCGCACGGTTACGAAAGCATCTGGACCGTCGGGCAGACAGCATCAGGCAGCAGTAGTGGCGAAGATTCTGCCCGGACAGTTTCGTAACTGTCTGGAGTCGCACGGTTGGATTTCGATGTAATAAGGGAATGTACCCCTTAGAGTACATGGCTAGCTAGGTTGATTCATATTCCCCTGTACTCCTATTTATATTCCTTGTACTGCATGTTTTTATTATCTCAAGCATTTACATTCACTCTGCTATTGAGGTCAAGGGCCCACCACCACTAGATTAGGAGTGTGCGAACCTTCCTGAGGTGATCCTGAGGTCGATCAACTTCTGATGGCAACACGTGAGGAAAACGCAACAGGAGATGGACAGGTTTATTCAGCAGCCTGAAGAAAAAAAAAACAAATCCTTATGATATATAAATTGATGTATAAAGCCGTTCAAGTGTAGCTCAGCAGCTTGTTGCTGTGGTTGTGAGCCACGGTTGTTGAGATCGTCGGGTGAAACGATGATCCAGGCTCCAGGCCAAGGGACATACGGGGATGGGCTTGAAGCTAGCAAAAAGGAAGAGCAAGGGAATGAGTGGAAGTTAGCAGATTCTGCTGGTCTGCATCTGTTAGTGGAAGTAAATTTTGCAGAGACTAGTTTCCTCTTTGGTTGGTGTTATGGTCGCAACAGGTGGATCCTTCATCTCCTGGGAATGCATTCGGTGCTAATTAGGGAATGAAAGTCTGGTCCTGCAGGCATACCCGCTGATTCCTCATCTTCTTTCATGGATGGCCCCGGCAGCGGCTTCGAAGTGGGTTGCAAGCTCAAACTGAAGACGACCTTAGGGGAGCAGCTGGAAGGGGAGGTCCTCGCGTTCGATGCCTCCACAGATTGCGTCATACTTCATATCCTTTCAACAACTCACCCTTTCACTTACTTCTCTCCCATTCCTGCTCTACAATTCCATTTTGATGTTTTGAAATTGCCTTGGATCCTGTCTTGTACGCAAACTGCTTTCTTCTCTTCCACTCCATCGTTCTAGGGTTTCTTCCTTAACTCGTTGCACACAAGATCTAAACAGCCGGGGACCGAAGAGGAACATACGATTTATAAAGGCCGATCGGATCGAGGAGTTCTCCGTTTTGGGTAAAACAGAGGAGATCGCTTCCCTTCGTCTTCCGTATGTAGACCTAGCAGTATTGCACGCGAAGGAGGACGCCGCTGTCAGGTAAAACCTAGATAACTCCAGAATCTAAGGGTGTTTGCGTGTGCATTTCGAAATCAGCCAGGATTCAACTCTGACTGCTTTGTCTGGCTGATGACAGGAAAGCGGAGGGTGAAGCGGAAAGAATAGGAGTCGGGGTAACTGCAGAGGCTCAAGACATATTCTTTGCCCTTTGTAAAACGTGAGATGCCTTCATAAACCTCGGCTGCAGGCTAACTGTAGTTGACTTCTAGATTGCATTACCCCGTTTCCACATTCTCCTGACTCATGCTGTGATTCGGATGCAGGTTACCTTGCAAATGGGACAAGACAAAAATCATTGTCATGGACGAGGTTCAGGTTCCGAGTCCATATAGGCCAGAGAATGTGACTGGAGGCTCGCCTGAAGCCAACGAACGAGTGAGGAAAGTGGTAAGTAATTTTCTTTCCATAATTCATAGCAACACCTGCATTTCTCGTTCCCTGGTCTCAGTCTGTCACTGTCTACCAGGGAACTGGGATTTCCCAACAAGTTCAGACTGTTTGAATGGCTGGAAAGCAAATGTGACCGAAATGAAGGAGACACAGTATCTTACAATGCGTTCATGAATGGAGAGATGGGGAAGGAGATGGACTGAGTGTGAATCTGGGGTGGGTGGGGGGGGGGGTTGGGGGGTGGGGGGGAAGAAATGGCAGATGACATAGTAGGCTAGCGGGAGAAGAAGGAAGAGTGAGTATAAGAGTGACCATTGCAGGGCGACAGAGGATGAAAAAGGAGGGGAGTGAAAGCGAGGGAAAGTGACTAATGTGTATGCTCTAATAGGTGTGCCCTACCTCTCCATCCCAACTTTTGCCATGCAACCAATACCTATTGCCCTGATGCCCTGCCCATTTGTATGCACTCTTACAGCGTCATTTTCACCTTCCCCACATTGCTGTGCCTGCCCTGCCCTCCCATTTCGGCCCCTTCATTGACAGCTTGCAAGGGAGAGGGAGAGGTTGCAATCAAGAGTACAACAAAGTGCTTAGTCTTGCCATTTGTGATAATGGTCTGGCTGCCTACTGATGCATTGCTGTATTGTATCAAATTGGGCTTAGAAAGTGATTCAATCGCAAGGTTAACCACTGAACTGTCCTGGCAGGTTGGCGGCAATGAGCTGTTGCATGACTAGAGATGCCAATTTTGACCTAGTGGGATGGGCACGTCATGCCCAAAAGAGTAGTACGATGTAAACCAAGTGTATCGGATTTTTTGGAGGGAGTACTACTGACAAATGAATCACATTCATCTTGGATACCGTAACAACGATTGGGTCAACAAAGAAATCCAACTAATCGCAAGGCCACTTCTTCATTTTAGGCTGCCGCAGAAGTCAGGCAGGTCCACTATCTGGATTCTGTGAATCTGTGCTGCCTCTTGCCTCTCCTGCTCTGTGTTGTAGCCCCATGTGCCTGCAAGGACATGGAGAAACACACGTTGCACCAGGTGGGTGGGTAGAGTTGGGGTTGGGGAACGAAAGGAAGTAGGACCAACAGGATGTTCGCACAACAGAGTGACGAACTGACTGAATGATTGTGCGACGGCAGAGCTGTTGTAGAGAAGAGTGAATGACCGAAACTGAGCAAACAGTGTGGCGGTGACAGCACAAAGCATGGCGACAACCGTACCTAGGTAGAGATGCCACCCGTCCAATTGTGGTGTGCTGATGACATTGCGCAGCGTGGCTAGTCGATCCTCCACAAAGCTGCCGTGGATTCAGCGCAACAAGGGGTGAGGCAAGCATGAGAGTTGTGAGGAGGCACGCACTCGGCTGCTGAAAGCCACCAAAGACGAAAAAGACGGGAACCATTGAAGACAAAACCAGATTCGTGGATAAGCAATCCGCAGAAACGTGAAATTAATGTACGGAAAAAGGGGACGCACTGAAAGGAGCAGCCTTGGTGTTGAGGGAGCGACTGCAGGTGCTGCAGCGTCTGCACTTTGGGGCTGGGGGAGACAAGGGAGCGAGGCAGGGCCGGGCCTTATCTGACCCTTAGGTTTGCCGGAAGGGGATTGGATGGATGGAGACGGTTTCCCAGCCTAGAGGAGTGTGGGAATGAAGTAGAAGGCATGGTGCAAGCATGTGGGAAGGATGGGTCTGTATGGGAAACCATGGCGCATAAGGCCAGATAACAGGGTCTGTTGTTGCATGGGACCAACTCATCGGGCTTTTCATGCTCTTCTGCCCACTTGTAACGATTTCAAAGGTGTATTGCCCACCCAACAGGCCCCTCTCCCACATGCTGTCCGTAATCCTTAAGCCAGTATCCATCCCTGCCGAGTTGTGACCTTAGTCCCTCCCTGCTGACACTACTCACCCGGTACCAAGCCCGAAGACCTTGTCTTCTGGGAAATCAACGCCTGCCAATTCGCGCAGCAGCGCGAGGGCAAAGCGGGTCTGGGCGCACAGGGAGGGGCGCACAGGGAGGGGCGCACAGGGAGGGGCGCACAGGGAGGGCAAGGATTCCCGGAGAAGTTGGTTTCGAAAGTTTCCAAACTCTAAATATTATTGGAGTAGGGAGGTGAGTGGAACAGGGATGCGGTGAAGATACTCTGGCAAGGTTGCTCACCAGGCAAGGGTGCTTCTTTGGAGGCGCAAGGAAGTGGAAACACACAGAGCAAGGTAAAGGAGGTGGGAGGGGAGAGTGTGCAGGTGTGCATGGATGCGAATGGGGAGTATCGTTGCTGGTGTGAGTATGGTGGGGGGTATTTTTTAGCACAAATGATCCACTCGTCTCTCACAGAGCCAAACAACTCCACCAGCTTTTGAATCGACTCAAAAGTCACCTAGCTCTTCCCTCCGCTCCTCCTCGGCCGAATTCGCCATCACTGTGCGTTTTACCCCCACCCCACCTCCAATCCGCTCACCATTGTGAGCACAAACGACAAGGCCACACCTGCTTTGTCGTGACTATATACAATGGAGACTCTGCCTTCTGAAGCGCCTGAGGCACGCCGGCATACATGCCATTGGCGGCAATCCACCCTGGCAGGTCGTCGCGCATCCACTCGTCCCTCACCGCCCCAAACAGCTCCACCAGCTCCTCCCTCCGCCCCTCCTCGCCCCACTCCGCCATCACTGCTGGCTTGATCTCCCCCTCCCACCCGCTCAGAATGGCCTCTAGGTTGAGTTTGCCTGATTTGGACAGCTGAAGGGGGGGCAGTGGGAGCAGTGAGGGGAGTGGGAGCAGTGAGGGCAGTGAGCAATGAGGGCAGTGGGAGCAGTGAGGGGAGCGGGGGGAGTTTGAGGGGAGTGATGCGAGCCAGGCCAGGGGAGAGTGCGTGAGAGATAGTGGGAAAGAGGAAGAGGAAGTGGAATCTATTCTTCTCTGCGACAGGGGATTGGCTTCATTCTGCCATCACTGTGATGTGAGGGCTTGACCTTTCCCCTCCCACCCGCTCAGAATGGCCTCTAGGTTGAGTTTGCCGGACTTGGACAGCTGATGCGGGGGCAGTGAGGGCAGTGAGGGCAGTGAGGGGAGTGAGGGGAGTGAGGGGAGTGAGGGGAGTGAGGGGAGTGAGGGCAGTGAGGGCAGTGAGGGGAGTTTGAGGGGAATTTGGGAGTGAGGCAGTGTGGGGAGTGAGGGGAGTGACGGGAGTGAGGGGAGTGAGGGCAGTGTGGGCATTGAGGGGAGGGATGTGGGCCAGGCCAGGGGGAAGTGCGTGAGAGATGGGAAATTAGGAATGTGCATGTACATGTGCATGTGAATTTGTGTGTGCATCTGCATGTGTGATCGCTTCTCCTGGTTTCCTCACAACCAATACGACTTCACACCCAAATCTTCCGATTGTCCTCACCTGATACTTTCCTTCTGTACTTGTCACCTGAGTCTTCCTGTTTGTGCCTTTCACCTGGGACTGGCGCTTGTCTTCACATGCCATTTCCAGCAGCAGGCGCACCAGCAGAATGTTCTCATACCCCGTCTCCACCACTGGCCGCACCTGTAGGGAATGGGAGCACACACATTGGGGGCATTCTTACATTATCAAGTTCTTACACTTCATATTCTCAAATGCTCCCATGCTCCCATGCTCCCATGCTCACATTCTCACATGCTCACATGCTCCCATGCTCACATGCTCACATGCTCACATGCACACATCCTCGCATGCTCACATGCTCACGTTATCCAAACGAGAAGCAAGGACACCAGCTGGCAGCTGTGCTCCTGCACTGAAGCATCACACCACACGATGCCGACAACTTTAAGACCAGCATGCCAACAGCTGTGCTCTTTGCAGTTGGACACAAAGGAGAGCGCACGACAGCACGCCCCTCTGCCGGTCCTATCCGAGTGTCAGTCACATCATCCAGCCAATCACAAGCCAGTCCGTCACCCAACATCAGGTCTGCTGCTGGCGCATGACCGCTCCACACCTCTCCTCCTCACCCCGCCTCACCTCGCCTCACCCCGCCTCACCTCGCCTCACCCCGCCTCACCTCTCTCATCTGCTTCAGGATCGTCTCCTCCACGTCAGCAGACACATCAGCAAAGAGTGACGGCCACCGCACCTTGGAAGCCTGTGGCGAGCACGTGGGGTTTGGTGCGCGGGCAAGGGAGAGTTGGGGAGGGTGAGCTGCGGTGAAGAATGGATATAAAAGTGTTCCACGACTCTTCCGCGAGTTACAGTCACCTCATAGGACGATGCTCACTCGCCTTCTCGTTGCAGTCACCTCGTATACTCTCACTCACTCGCCTGCTCGTTAAAATCACCTCATTCAAGGTCACCCCGCCTCGATCTCATCACCTCTTCGCATCTCCTCTGGTCCATGGTTTATCTGATCTGCAATTCTCCTCCCTCACCTCACCACTAGACGAAGATCCACTTTGCCTACCTTGGGATCGCCGCGCCTCACCTTCACGGCCGACTGCGAGCTTTCCCCGCAGCTGTCGCACAGAACGCCGTCGAAATCCAGAGCGTACACGTGGCGATCCATGGTTGGGTCGCTGGTCCGCAAGGAGCAGCGAGCTAGCCCGCGGCGAGAGTGACGGCACCGAGCGGGAGAAACGGCGACAGTTGAGGGAAGCAGGCGAATAAACGAAGCAGCGGGGAAAGCTGCAAGCCGCGACCTCGATACGCACAGTTCTGGAACGGCTGATTGCCTACCGGACAATCGCGCTCGTGAATGCGAACAGGAAGATGCAGCAAGCGGTGAGAACGCCTTTCCGGCGCAAAGTGCGCTGCTGGTCGCGGGCATGATTGCAGCGCAATTGAGAAATTCGGGTGGAGGAGAGGAGTGGCAAGTTGAGAACGCTGTCAAAGTGAAGCACGGCCTTGAGAATGCCACTTGTGCCTCGGGTCGTCGCGAGCTCCGATTGGAGTGTCATGTTATGTCACCCCTGTGTACCTTGTGTGTAACGTTGTCCGAAGGAATGCGATCTCAAATGCTTACAGACACGACTGTTTCACGGCGAAACGGTCTGATGCCCAAATTGCGGATCGCGCTGGGCAAGTTTAGTAAAGTTGATCGACAGTTGTTTTGCAGGTGTTTGCGAATTGGGGTTACGAGCTGTACGAAGCCAGATGATTGGCCAGTAAAATTCAAACAGTGTTCTTGGAGCAGGAGGGGAGGCAAAGTTGCAAGAGTAATATCCGTGCAATATGGGACCCACGCAACCAAACGCGAGGTGGCCCCTAGGGTATGCTGAGTCAGCGAAAAACAAAAAGTTAGGCGAAACCAAAGCCCTCAACCCAACCAGCACCTCGACTTTCCTGTCCAGCTCCCTCACCACCCAAAGCCCAACTTTAGTAAAGTTGAACAATTTGGGCCTTGAGCTTTGAAGAAGGGCTTCGCCTTGTTCGCTGTCGCCACAAACAAACTGAGGAGGAAACGGTAGAGGCTCTCGTCAATGGTACTTGTTACCAAGTAGAATGTAGCAGTGCAACAGAGACGATATTTGCATTTTTTTTTAAATGATAATTGAAAGTATACACCGAGTGTACAAGCATATACTGACAAGAACGGTCGTAACCGTGCGTGAGGAACTAAAGGGGACCTCTTGCTCCAGATAAGATTCCTAGGGCCGAGTGTTCCTGGCCCTCCGCGCCGACCATATCGCTGCAAAACTGCTTGTCCACTTCAGACCTTTGCCAACCATCTTGATTTTCCCAAGCATGTTCCATTCCTCCGATGAATCTCGCTGCCTCTGCTTGCGCCACGTTGGCCCGAACTTGTGGATGTACAGTCTCACATGCTCAGGACCCGTTGCGTCCGAAATTTCTGCCCCCTGAAGACAGCTTCGCACCGCTCGAGCCACAACTGGTGCAATGCGATTGATGTTATCGTCAGCTCCGGAAATGCTGAGCTGGTTCCTGCCCTCTGAAACAAGAGATCGCCCAGCGAGTCCGTCGTGCGGCCAGGATTCAGCATGCCCAGAGCGCGCCGAAGAGCTGCGGAAACCACCTGGATCCTGGGGCAGAGAACCAGGCAGTGCTCCAGTGTCTCAGTTTCTCCGCAGTACGGGCACACCGGCTTGCTGCTGAGGAAAGACAGTCTCTCCCCTACTTGCAGATTTAAACCGTGGATTCGGGTAAGCACGTCACGTGGACGGCTGGGAACTGCCAGAGAGTCCCGCGTGTCCACGACCCGTTTCCAGTTGATGACCCCTCCCCAGCGTGCCGCCCACTTTGCACGCTTGTAAGACTCCTTCCGGGCCTCCACCCAACCCTCCTTCATCCGCTTCATGGGGATGATGCGCCCCACCTCCAGAATTAGCAGCTGCTGAGGAGAGTCAGCCGAGCGAAGGAGCACAGTCGGAAACCCCAACTCTCTACACCACCTTGCAGGGAGAGACCCTACCGCTTTCAGCGCCAGCTTCGCAGGGCCACCGCTGCCCAAGTGAACTGTTAGCTCCGCCACAGATTTCTGTGACAACTCCCCGGCCTCATTCCGTGTGAACAGGTCGCCTAGGCGCAGGTCCCACAGCTTCCCCCCGATCGGTGTGGTGCCGCGCAGCAGTATATTTTTGTTAAAAACGATCCGCTCCTGCAGGATCTCCTCCCTCGTCGTAACCGGGGCGCGCAGACACAGCGGCGAGCCTGAGAGGCTTTCACACGTCTGTTTCCACCGGATACTGCCACCTTCCCAGTGCTTGAATAACTTTTCATGAGCTCCGAAGGAATCAGCTCCCAAGGGGAGCTTCGCCGCCCGCTCCATCAGGTCCTTTTTAAGGCAGTTATTCTCCGTGATGTACAGCCCCGCCCTTCTCGCCGCCAGACAGGTGATGACAATCTCCGGGTCCCTTACCCCAATTCCGCCCGCTTCTCTCGTGGTGTACAGCAACACCTTGCTCCATAGGAAAAAGCCCTTTGCTGCTGACACCCTATTTCCGGATAAGAAACCGTGTAACATGCGCACCAAATCCTCCCAAATGTCTGCAGGTGGCGGGAAGACTTGGGCCTGGAAGGAGATTATCGGGGTGATGTAGAAGTTTACCACTGTAGAAGTTTACCACTGACGCACGTGCCGCCGTCGTCAAATATTTGCATTGATACAGCCGTTTAGTAATGTCAAGGTGGTTCGTTATGTGTATTGTTCCGAGTCCCTAACGTTCAAGGAACGGGTTCTCAATTTTTTAGATTCCCCGATGTTCTTCTTCCCTTTTTTTCAGCCGTCAGATTGTTTCAGCCAGCCCCTCGAGGTTTTCAGAAACCTTGAAATCTGCTCCATCTCCAACGACAGTTTTCCAGTCTTGGGATCGCTTATTTGTATCGGTTTTCGGTTTAGGCTTCTCGCGACGATAGATACTGTTCGTCATCACACCGACGAATTTCCTTAAGCTGCATGCGAGGACCGTTGAGTTCCATCCTGCTGTTTGTCTCGACCTGAAGTCCCATAGCTGGAGTCATACTTACGTCGGTGAAGGCGTCGCGAGAAGGCAATGAGCAGCGGCGACGGCAATCAGGCCGGCGGCGCGGGGCGAGGAGGAGGAGGGGGAGGGGGAGGAGGACCCGTGCCGTCCTCGGGATTTCCGTCTGCCGGCCGGCCCATGGGCATGGGCGCGCCGCCGTCCACGTCAGGCTATGCGAGCGCGCCTCCGCCTCCCATGGGGATGCGAGCCATGCCTCCGCCAGGTATTGCCGCCGCAATTTCTAATAATCTTTTCACTCTTCTCACCAATTTTCAAGTTCCACTCGGCTTAGATCTGTAGAGTGTTTACGTTCGCCGTTTAGCGTAATGCTCGGTGGATTCAGTTTATGCTCACCGTGCTTTCAAGACAAGGACACGGGAAGGAAACCCTAATATGGGGAACCGAGCGCTGCTCTTTCTCTTTGCGCACAGTCACGCGTCCGTATGGATGAGTGGTGGTGCTGATCCTTGCTGGAGCCTTCCCTTTCAACTCCTTCAAACCCACATCATGGTATGATTTTTGCTTAGATCGTCTGGTCATCCTGCTTTCCTCCTGTCCCCTCCAACCGTTCTCGTTGTACCCAACGCCTCGTTATCGTATCGTCGCCATCCCTCCATCGTCTCCTTCTCCTCTCCTGCCCGTCTCCTCATTTCGTCGTGCACCCCTCCTCTCTTCTCCCTCCTCTCCGTTTTGTCACCTCTCCGCACCGTTCTCTCATTCACCGTTCCTCACCGCGTCCCACTCCTTCCTCCGTGCCCTAAAGCGCCGTCACATCAGCCATCGTTCAGTTTGAACGCCCTTTGCATAAGTAGCGTGTCGTAGACTTGTGTGGGAGGGCACAAGCCAAAGAAAGGAGACGCTAATAGTGTCCTTTCCTTAGTGCGTGTAAGTAAGGAGCACGCACTAAGGGCTGACTCTCCAGTACAGGCCAGGCCAGGTTGTATCCAGTGCGGTTTCAAAAGCGAAGTGTCGAGGTATTACGTAATCCTGCATGCAAGGCGGAATGAGCCTTCTGCCAGCTAGTGCGTATGCGAGGAATACAAGCAGACAGAGGAACAATCACCTACACTGATTATCCGGTAAGAGGGGTTTCGTGACAGGAGTGAGGGCTTTGGATATCCTACCGTGGGTGTTTCAAGTTCTGAGTTAATTGCGATTGTGGGAAGAATTGCTGCAGCAATGTGGTTGTGGGAAGAAGAGTGATTCACCAGTCCATGACAGGCAGGCATGCAGGCGGACAGACAGGCAGACAGGCAGGCAGGCAAGCAGGCAGGCAGATAACTTCACCTACTATCCGGTAAGATGGATTGCGTTGGTGGGCCGTGTATGGCCAGCAGCTTTTCATCCGCGTGGGTTGGTCTAATAAGATTCATTTGCGTACGTAGTGTTCGTTGACATGCGGCAGTAATAATATTTATACAATCACATACAACATTATTCATCCGCATGCTGGATTATTGACACACAGCTGCTCTACATACAGTAATAATAATTATTTGCATACCCTAGTGTCCATGTGTCCATTTGTATGCCATACAGTGCATAAGTTTCGCTTTCTAATGATTTTTTGACTGACATATCTCCTCTGTCCCCCTTCTCCCTTCCAACACTCCATCCCCTCTCCTCCCCCCTTCCCCCTTCCCTCCCCCCCACCACCAGGCATGCCAATGCATCACTTCATCTTCATGCGCCCTCCCCCGGGAGCCCCAATGCACCACTTCCGCCCGCCCCCCGGCGCCTCCCCCCTCCCCTTCCCCTTCCCCGGCATGCCCCGCGCGCCCAGCCCCTTCCCCCACGCCCTGGCGCGTCCGCCCTCCCTTCCCCCGCCCAACATGCGCCTCCCCGCGCCCCCGCATGGGGGGGGCGCACCTCTGAGCTCGTTCCTGGCGGCTGCTGCGTCAAGGGGAGGGGCGGGCGCGGGGGGGATGGGGGGAGCGGGCGGGGAGAAGGCGCAGACGACTGTGTACGTGGGAAAGCTCGCGCCCTCTGTGGATGACACGCTGGTGGTGAAGCTGCTGGAGGTGCGGATGGATGGGGGGAGGGGGGTGAGGGGGAGGTAGGGGTGAGGGGGATAGGGGAGAGGGGAAGAGGGGAAGAGGGGAGAGGGGAGAGGGGAGGAGGGAAGAGGGGAAGAGGGGAAGAGGGGAGAGGTGGAAGGGCGGGAAGGGGAGGGAAGAGGGGGAGAGGAAAGGAGGGGAGGGAGTGGAAGTAGGCAGGGGAGAAGGAGAAGTGGGGGTAAGGGCACTTGGGGGGGAAAGGAGACGGTGAGGTGGTGGAGAGAAGGGGACGGGGAGGGGACGGAGCCAGTTTTCCCTCCTTTGAGGGTTACTTTCAAGTTTCAAGGGTTATTTCCTAGTTTATCCAAGTAGCAGCATGCTGCCATCATCCCCCCCCGGCCCCGCGCCCACTTTCCTACCCTTCACCCCCATTAGCTGTGCCTCCGGATTGCTCAAGAACTCTATGTGAGTCAAATGAAACATTTTTTTTCGCTTCCCCCACTCCCACTCTCCCACTCCCTTCCTCCCTTCCCCTTCTCTACGCCCCGTCCCTCCAGCTGTGCGGGCCGTTGAGGAGCTGGAAGCGGGCATCGGACCCCACCAGCGGCAGCCCCAAGGGGGGCATGCACCTAGCACAGTCGCTCCCTTCCCTTACCCCCTCCTCCCTCCCCCCAACTCCCCATCCCCCCCCCACCCTTTCAGCTGTGCGGGCCGTTGAGGAGCTGGAAGCGGGCATCAGACCCCACGAGCGGCAGCCCCAAGGGTGACACTCTAGTCCATGCATGCAACACAGCACAGTCTATCCCCCCTCCCCTACACACGCCCCTCCCTCTCCCCGTCCCTCCAGCTGTGCGGGCCGCTGAGGAGCTGGAAGCGGGCGTCGGACCCCACGAGCGGCAGCCCCAAGGGGTTTGGGTTCTGCGAGTTTGACACGGCCGATGGGGTGCTGCGCGCCCTGCGCCTGCTCAACCGCCGCGAGATCGACGGCCAGAACCTGCTGGTGCGTGCTAATGGGGGTGAACTAGCTGGCTGGGGGAGTGTGATGTGAACCTGCTGATGTCTGCTGTTATGTATGGTGGTTCTGTGCTGTGAACCTGCTGATGTCTGCTGTTATGTATGGTGGTTATGTGCTGTGAACCTGCTGGTGCGTGCGCACACACACCCTGCTTGCAATCCGCCACGAGCAAACTTCTATAAATCTCTCTTGCCTGCTTTTTTCCCTACCTCCCCACGTTTCCCCTCCCCCGCTTTCCCTCTTTCCCCCTCTCCCCCTCCTCCCCTCCCTCCTCCCCCATATCCACCTTCCCCACAACCCCAACCGCATGTTGGCAGTTGAACGTGAATGCAGCCACCAGGGAGTACCTAGAGCGTGTGGTAACTTCCAGGAAAGCCTCTTTTGCCGCCCTCGAAGCTTCCAGGAAAGGGGTGGCTGACCAGGGCAGGAAGGGGGGAGGGGAGGGAGAGGGCGACGGGGAAAAGGCGAATGGGAAGGACGAGAAGAGTGAGGAGGGTGATGGGGTGAAGGCAGGGGAAGAGGGAGGGGAGGCGAAGAAAGATGAGGAGGGGAAGGAAGGGAGCAAGGGAGAGGGCAAGGAGGATGAGGAGGAGAGGAGGAAGGAGGAGGAGGCGAGGGTGTTTGGGCTGGTGACACCTGAAGATAAGGACAAAGATGAAGCTGCCTTGGCGAAGCTCAATGGCATGCTGCAGGAGAGGTGAGGGCGTGGGTGCAGAGAGGTGAGGGTGGGTGCAGAGAGGTAAGGCCGTTGGTGCAGAGAGGTGAGGGTGGGTGCCGCGAGGTGAGGGCGTGGTGCAAAGAGGTAATGATAGGCAAGTGAGTTGTTGAGAATGGAAGGGCTGGACATGGCGTGGGGTGTTGATGTGTCAGTCACCATGCACGCTGAGGAATTTGGTGAACTGGAGTGATGGTCGCACACGAATGGTGGCCACACGAATGGTGGCCACTCGAATGGAGGCCACTCGAATGGAGGCCACTCGAATGGAGGCCACATGGTTGCTACTTGTTGATTTGACAGTGTAGAGGTGTGTTGGCCCTGCCGCTGACTTTCTAATGGTGGCCCTGCCGCTGACTTTCTCGCTCTGTTCCCCTCGTCACTCTGCAGAGTGAAGCTGCTGCCACCACCACCGCCACCGCCTCTCAAGGACAGCAGCAAGGAGGTTGACGCGTCTGCTGCTGGTGGGTCTGTTGCATGTGATTGCTGGCGATCATAACACCCACTTTGTCTGCATCTCTGAGAGTTGTTTTTTTTTAAGAATTCTCAAAGACCAATTTGTCTCATGTGATGGCTGGCGATCATAACACCGCCAATGTCTTTGTTTGCATCGCAGAGAGGTTGTGTGCGCTTGTGCACGTGTGATGGCATGTGTTTGGTGCGTGTGAGCTTGCGCGTTTGCTAATGCTGTTTTTGCTACTCGTTACTACTCCCAAGTCAGGCACTGCAGTAACCCCTTTTCCTTGCCATATGCTTGCTTATTTTTTATTCTTTCTCAATCGTTTCCTGTTGCTTTCTATCGCTTTCATGGCTGTGTCATCTCAGAATCTAGTGAACGAGAAGGCGATGGGCACAGGCGGGAGGGCAGAAAGAGAGAGAGGGAAGATGCTGATTCTGACGATGATGCTGGGCACGAGCGGTCCCGGCATAGGGAGAAAGACAGGGACAGAGAGAGAGACAGGGAGAGAGACAGGGGTGATGAGCACGATAGGGAGAAGGAGAGAGACGGGGAGAGGGAGCGGGAGAAGCCCAGGGAGCATAAGAGTGCCAAGGAGAGGGAGCAGCGGGAGAAGGAGCGGGAGGAGAGGGGCAAGGAGAGGGAGTATGAGCGGTTGGAGCAGAGGAGGGAGAGGGAGAGGGGCCGCAGGGAGCGAGACAGAGAGATCAACATACGAGAGCTTGATCGGCTGAGTGATCAGAGGGAGAGAGAGATGGAGAACAAGGAGAAGGAGAAGGACCGAGCTAAGGCGTATGAGAGAGAGCGAGAGCGGGAGGCGGAGAGGGAGAGGCGGGCGCTGATTCGGCAGCAGGAGGAGGAGGATAGTGAGGAGGAGGAGAGGATTTATAGGAGGCGGGTGAGGGATGGGTATTGGGAGGAGAGGAGGCGGGTGCGGGCGAGGGAGGAGGAGGAGGATGCGAAGGACAGGGAGAAGGAGGAGAGGGAGAGGAAGGAGGCGAAGGAGAGGGAGGAGCAGCAGAGGAAGGAAGCAGTGGCATTTGTGAGTGAGGCTGTGGGGGAGGCGAGTGAGCTGCTGGTGGGGCAAGCTGCTGCTGGAGCCGGTGTGGAGGCAGCAGCACCAGGGGATACGGGTGAAGGTGGGGTGGGAGGTGCCCACGGAATTGGAGGAGGAGATGGGTTGATCAAGAGCGAAGCGACCAATGGGTTTGCTTCAGCAGAAGCAGAGGATACAGAAGCAGCAGCAGTACCTGCCACTGCTGCTCTTGCTGCTGCGCCGGCATCACCACCACCAGCGCCTGTCCCCCCGCCCCTCCCCGAAGTGAAGATCTCTCTACCCAGTTTAGCTGACCTCCTGCCGTCCCTCCACCCGCCCTCTGCCGCCGCTGCTGGGTCCCCTGGGGGGGCGCCGGCAGGGCAGGTGGCGGGAGGCGAGGGAGCAGGGGGGTCGCGGCAGGGAGGGAGGGGCAGAGAGTCGGAGGTGGATGCGCTGGTGCGAGCCGTGGCTGCCCATGCCAAGGACAGGGAGGGGCGTGCAGGTACGGTTTTATGAGTTGGGTTGGGTGTGTAACTTGCCAGATTTGGCAGTGGTGTTGGCTTCTTAGGCTTATCAAAAAACAACTAGCACGGGGGGCGGGGCAGGGAGGGAGGGGCAGGGAGTCGGAAGCGGCTGCACTAATGCAACCTGTGGCTGCGCATGCCAAGGACAGGGAGGGGTGCGCAGTACGGTATTTTGTGAACGTGCGACTGTTGGCAGTGGTGCAAAGGTGTAGCACCGGGTAAGGCTGCATCCAAGTAGGGCTGTGCCTAAGGCTGTGGGAAGAAGGACGGCTTGTCCTGCCTGGGATCGCACTTTCCAACTCACAGTTTTCCACCTTCTCTGCTTTTCCAGTCTGTGTGCTTCTGTTGTTCTCACCATCCAGATTTATTTTTTCAACCCAACCCTCTTTTTCTCACCACCCTATTTTCCACTCCTACTCGTGACCCTCCTACGAACCCTCTCCCATCGTTTGCTCTGGAAAACCAGCGGGCCACGCACAACCCCATGTAGCACCCGCAGCACCAGCACCAGCTGAGGCAGCAGCACCGGCACCCGAAGCAGCATCAGCAGACGCAGCAGCGACAGCATCACCTGCGGAACCAGCAGCAGCATCCCCAGCACCTCCACCCCAGCCACCCGCCACCGCTGCTGCTCACCCCTCCACCGCACCCTCCCGCACCCCAGCGCCAGCACCGTCCAAAAAGTCGCGCACACTGGCATCTGTGTTCGGCGCGGAGGAGGACGAGGAGGAGCTGGCGCGCAAGAAACTACGGCCCCTCGTTCCCATCGACTATGACGATGGTGGCAGTGATGCTGCTGGCGCTGCTGCCGGTGCTGGTGGGCACGGGGGTTCCCCTTCACCTTCCCGGGCTGCAGCGAGTGGTGGTGCGGGTGGAGGTCTGGCGGCCAGCATTGCTGCGGCGGCTGAGTTTGCCAAGCGGCTGTCTCAGGGAGGCGGGGCAGGCAAGGACGAGGAGAGGAGGAGGAGCGGAGGGGGAGATGCGGGTGCGGGTGGGGGAGAGAAGGAGAAGGCGAAACCGAAGGCGGTGGTGGATGTGAAGTCGCTGATTGACTCCATCCCCAAGAGCAAGGACGATCTCTTTGCCGTGCCCATTAACTGGACCGTCTATGATGAGGTGAGCGAGCTTGGTACTTGGCCTCTCTGTTGAGTGTGCCAGGGTGAGACCGAGCCGAGACGAGATCGTGTCAATATTAGATTGTGTCGAGATGAAACCGTGCTGAGGTTGAATCACCCATTCCTCTCCCTTGCTCTCGCTCACCATCATCGCTCTGACTGCACAGCAAAAGCACATGCATCCTTAACAACCATCCTCTTTCAAGCCTCCCTGCCCACATTCCCTGTTCCCCTCTTCCCGTGTCTTCCTTCCCCCCCATTGCCCCAACGCTGTTCTTCCCAGAGCGCGCTGCACCAGCGCATGCGGCCGTGGGTGGCGCGGAAGATCCAGGAGTTCCTGGGAGAGGAGGAGCCCACCCTTGTGGACTTCATTCTCTCCAAGACGCAGCAGCACGTGGGCGGGGCGGCGCTGCTGGGCCTGCTGGAGCCGATACTGGACGAGGAGGCGGAGATGTTTGTGCTCAAGATGTGGCGCATGCTCATCTTTGAGATCAGGCGGGTTGAGATGGGACTCACGGGGAAGGCTGGTGCTAAGTAGATCGTGGGAATGTAGTAATTGATAATGCTGTCGTGAAATTATTGTGTTGGATGGAATTGTTCCGACATTCAGAAGTGGGAAGCTTTAGTGATTCCTGATGTGTCTGCTTCTTGATTCCAATACCATATCAGAGAGGACAACTGACGGGCTGGACAACAAGTTACTACGCTCCCTCTCTCCTCTAACTCCTCTCTCTGCTCTCGCCCCTCTCTCCTCTCTCTCCCCTTTCTCCTCTCTCCCCTCTCTCCCCTCTCTCGCCTCTCACTCCTCTCGTCCCTCTCACCTCTCTCTCCCCTCTCTCCTATCTCGCCCCTCTCCACTTTCGCTTTCTCCCTTTCCGCTAAAGGGCAAAAACAGCAACCTTGCACCTTCTCTTATACTCGTGCATTTGAGCCGCGACCTTCTTGCAATCCGCGACACCCTTGACGCGACGAGCTGCTAGAAACTAGAATCGCGGATTTTCGGCGACGGTGTTGGCGCACGTTGTTACGAAACTACTGCTTATTCGGCAGGGTATTAGCGCACGGCGCAGACTGGAGTCTTCCTTGCGGCGGCGTGGTTTGAGCTTTGCGTTGAGCAGCAGGGGACAGCACGGTGCGGTCATCAGTTTCTGCCTCTAGCGGCACGAAAAGCAGATTTGCGAAACCCCTTCCCCCGTCGTGCATTTTCGCCTCCCCACCAACCCAACTTCCCGCCACTTTGCCAACCTCACATCCGCGCTTGTGCTTCTCCCCAGCCACTTTTCGTGACCTTCCTTGCTACACCAAATTCTTCCCTGAAACAAGGACTACACTTTCCGCCTCAGTTCTTATGCTTCCAAAACCTCCGAAATCATTCTGCATGCCACCAGCCCAATACCTTACAGTATGACAAGCCGCAAAAGGGGCCGTGGTACCCAAGACTCTGAACCCACTTCTCCTCGTCCGCCTGCCCGTTCGCGACAAACTCCAGCCTTTGCGACTCTTTCGACCTCCTCATCAAACCTTGCACCACCCCCTACTCCTAAACCTCAATCAATCTTCTGCTCCCTCCCAGCAATCTCAGACAACATCAGCCCCGAAAATTGTCTCGGAAAAACAAAAGGAGATTCTCCAGCAGGTCCTTAAGGGCACCCTTCCTGATTCTCCGTCTTCAACACGGCCTCAAACCTCTCACCCTCAGCCCTCGACTTCCCGTGCCCATCCTTCATCTACCTCAACACCTCCTCCGACGACTACAGCAGATGCTCCCGATCCCGCAGCCCCTGCCGACAACACGCACCCACTATCACACTACGAAACTGCTGCTTCACCTTCTCGAGATCCCCCTCCTCCTTCCCCTACCCCTCACTCTACGCAGCCATGCCCACAACCCTGCCCGCCCTCATCAACCTCCGATAACCCACTACCTCCTAATTCTTGCCCTACATGTCGACGCTCCTTCGCCAACCCAGGTTCTCTGACCCGTCACCTTTCAACCTGTTCTCGCAACACCGCTACACGACAGCAAGCTGCTCGGCCTCCTCCTCCCCGCGCATCAGCCCCAACTTCAGCGCTTGCAGCTGTTGATCGACCTTCCATTCCCCAAGCCACCTGGGAGGCCGTTCCTTCCTGGGACTGGCCTTCCTTCTTCAGCCCAGCAGTCTCACCTGGCCCTATTCTCCGTCGAATCCCCTCCCGCATCCGACTCCTCGTTCTCGATGCACTTCTCATCCCTCTGCGCCACCTTGCACAGCATCCCACTGACGTCGCTGCACACCTCATACTCTTAGCATTTCCGCGTCTCCTGCTGCGCCTACCATCGGCCGCTGCTCCCACACAGCCCCTTACCGCTGCATGCGCTGCTTTAGCGCGCCGCTTCATCAATGGTGACTGGCAGTCTCTTTTCAGTGAAGCCGTAGCTGCAGCCACTCCAGCCGCTAGACCTCTGCATATGGCATCAGCACGTTCTACAGCGCTGCAGGCTCGTCTCAACCGTGCGAAGCGATTTGCGAAATGCGGGGATTGGTCGCGTTCACTGGCAGCACTAGAAGCTGGCGAGTTAGCACCTCCATCATCAGAAACAGTCTGCCCTCAGCTCGAAGCACCCACCGGCTGCAGCCGAGATTCCTGACTGGGTACACAGTTTCACTCTTGCTGCCGCACCACAGCTTACTGTCCCTGTCCTCCACGCCGCTCTACAGTCCGCCCCCCGCGGCACAGCTGCTGGACCTTCTGGGTGGTTCATTGAGCACCTCAGAGACACCTTTCTCTCCCACCAGCAGCATCTCCCTTCTCTCCTCCACGTCTTCCAGAACTGGCTACAAGGGGATCTTCCACTTGCAGTCAGGCCTTTCTACACTGCTTCAAACCTCGTCGCCCTACAGAAACCGCATGGTGGTGTACGTCCCATCGCCATTGGAGAAGTGCTACCACGCCTCCTTTCACGCTGCATCACCCTCCTTTTCAAGCAGCAGATGCGAGAGACGTTTCTTCCTCACCTTCAGTTTGGCGTAGCAGTTCCAGCAGGGATCGAGGTCATGTCGCACGCAGTTTGTTCCGCCTTCTCCCTTCATCCCGATTGGGTGGTGCTGCAGTTGGACGTGGCAAACGCTTTCAACTCCTTCAACAGAGTTTCCATGTTTGAGGCATTACGGCGCTCCCCATTCTCCAGTCTCATTCCCTTCTTCCGCCTATTTTACTCCTCCCCTTCACCTCTCCACTACCGCAGCGGCCCTCTCCTCCACACGTTCCAGTCAGCCTCCAGTGTTCGTCAGGGCGACCCTTGTGGCCCTTTCCTCTACGCCCTGACGCAGCAGCTAGCCATCCAGCCAACCCAGCAGCAATCTCCCTCTATTTTCGTTACCTCATACGCGGACGATACCTACTTGGTCGGCCCTCCCTCAGACGTGTTTGCCGCATACACTGACCTTACCGCCTGCCTTCTCTCTCTCGGCCTTACTGTCCAACCCTCTAAGTGCTCTCTATGGGCCCCTATGGACTTGCCCGAACACTGCATTCCGCCCTCGGGTATTTCCATCGCAGCAAACGGTCTCACTGTCGCTGGCGTTCCTACCGGCTCAGACGGTTACATCATCTCTACAGTTCGTGACAAACTCGATTCTTTCACTTCCTCCCTCCCCTTACTGCATCAACTGCAGGACCCACAGATTGCCTCACGGATCCTTTCCTTATGCATCACAGCCCGACCTTCTTTCCTCCTCCGAACTGTCGCACCTTTTCCCGAAATCCAAGAGCTACTCTCCTCATGGGACAGCACCATTTTCAGCCACTTTTCTCAGCTCCTGGGCTCCGAGTACTGGAATCCCACCTCTGAACAGTCCACATCGGCCCGACTCCAAGCCTCGCTCCCTATCCGCTTGGGTGGCTTCGGCATTCGCAGCTCTGCATCCATTGCCCCCCTCAGTTACCTCTGCAGCTGGGCGCAGACAGTTTCGACCTTGTCCACCCACTTCATCACCGATGGTGCTCCTCTTTTCCGCCCTTACATTACCACAGACTCCATTAACCGCTTGGACCCTTCAATCTCATCCACCATGACCATGCTCCCCCAAGACATTCGTGATCGCTTTCCATCGTGGTCTGTGCTACAATCGGGCTACCCTCCTAAACTCTTCACTCACCTGTCCCAACACCTTGAAGCCGAACTGCTGGAGAAGGTTCGAGCCACAGTAACGTCCCCGCTTCGCCTTGCTCGCCTAACCTCTTTGCAGGGCCCGCATGCAGGTGACTGGCTCACTGTGGCTCCATCCTCCCCGCACATGCAGCTTTCAGAGACCGAGTGGCGCATTGCAGCAGCCATCCGCTTAGGCCTTCCTATTCCTCACCTTTCATCTTCCCACACCTGCACCTGCAACTCCCCATTCACTGATCCTTCCATCCACTCTCACGTCCTTCGCTGCCCTAGCAACAATGAGCCTACCAAGGTGCACGACGCAATCAAGCGTGAAGTTCATCGCATTGCCTTGGAGCTTGGGTTCTCTGCGCAAATGGAAGACCAGCATCTCCTGCCTGGCCGCCGTACAGACATCACGTGCCGCGACGTCAGCTCTGGTACCACCTGGGCCTTGGATGTTTCCGTCGCCGATCCTCAAAAGGGATTTCCGCACTCCAACGCAGCTACGGTGATCGGTTCAGCAGCAGCCACTCGTGAAAGCGAGAAGACAACCCACTATGCTGCAGCACTTCGTGACCGTCCAGACATCAAACTGTTTCCCCTTGTCATCGAAACCTTCGGTTGCTTCGGCTCTTCGTTCAACAACTTCCTTCGCCAATGCAGCCGCAAAGGGCGTCACAACTCCGCGACTTGAGTGGTGCCACAGATTCTCTTCCCCAGCTGTTTGAGACCAACTTCTACAAACGGATTTCTCTGGTCCATCAACGTGAGCAGGCTCGCACTGTTTGTCGTCGTGCACAAATTCGTTTTACCGAATGCGTCAACCACGCACCACCCGAGGTGACTTCTCTTTCTGCAGCTGACTTTGCCTACTTGGGAGAGGACCATTGAGACATCACAGAGGCCTATTTGTAGGCCTCACAATAGGATTAGCCTGCATGTCTTTCTATACACTAGGTGTCTGGATTTGCCTTGTACCATTGTACATTTAGTATAGATTCAATAAAGAGGAGGAATAGCACCCTGCCATCAGCACGGTGCAGACCCGGGTTCGATTCCCGGCTGGTACACGAGATCCTTTTTGTGCGTCAGCTGTCATATGCTGTCTCCTTGTTCCTCGCATTTCCGTCACACGGTAGGTTTTCGGGGCTGACTGCCGGCTGGAAAATCCACGACATTTCCGCATCGGCTCACATTTTCTTGTTCGCTGCAGAGCCATTCTCAAATCCGCTTCATCGTTGACGAGTCACTATTTTTCACGCTCTGCTGCATTTACATCGGCTCTTTTCTGCCGTCCTTCCTCATTTCCTCTTCCGAGTTTGCGTCCACGAGAAGACGATAGGGGGAAGAAGTGTGACAACCACAACATCTCCTATTCTTCCTCCCCCTGCTGTTGATAGCCGTTTCTCGCTTTTCCTACTTCCGCCTTCAATCATAAGTGACCCTAATAGCGTCACCGTAAGCGCTTCGACCAATGTGAAGGAGCTCAAAGCGCGCCGACTGTTCCAAAGAGCAAAATCGGGATAACGCGGATAGTCTCGACCGATCAGGTGTCGACATGGTGAGTGAAATTGTAGAATGCGGAGTGTGGTTCCTCCCTCCCTGTCGCCATTCATAGAGTGTACCCGTAGAGTGCGAGCAGTACCACCCGCATCTTCCTCAGAGTTATACGATTCGCGTGTTGACCAGTGCTAGCAGGCGCACCTCGCATGTTTCCGCACCCCTCATGCCTGGCACTGCACTGAACCCATACCACTCTGCACCCCTGGGAACTGCAGGTGTACCACTCATCCTACACGCATTTGGAGGGAGTGGAGTTCGCATGCGGCTGCCCCTTGCTGGCGCTCAAAGCCACCGCCAGAGGACCCACCCACAACACTTCCACTGGTAACCACCTTTCGCACAATGCCTCCACCTGTAACCACCTTTCGCCCAACGCCTCCACTGGTAACCACCTTTCGCCCAAGACCTCCACTGGTAACCAGACTGACATTGGTGGCAGCAAGGCAATCACTTTTTTCAAAATTAGTGTTTTGGGAATGAATGAAAGAAAGAATGGGAAGAAGAGAGGCAGTACGAGAAGAACAAAGTTATTGCCGCTCAGTTTGTCTCTCCCCAATTCATCACTTTCCAAGTTACCGTCGTTAGCATGGCCAACACGAGCATGCCCAAAATAACGCCGTTAGCATAGCACGCCCTAGGGTTCATCCCTTTCATTCTGCAGAAGAGACATACATACATGGTGGAAGAGGCAATCACTCTCTTGTTGGGGATTCTCTAGATGGTCACCGCCCGTTTGTTCCTCCAAAACCACCCACCCTTCTCTCCTCCCACCCCACCCCACCCCACCATTCGGAGGAAACGGACGTAGTGGACGAGGCGCACGCTCTTCCGACCCAACGTGCTGTTCCGTCGCTTTGAGACGTCTCAAAACTCAACTTTTATCACGTGCTGTTCCGCCGCTTTGGTTTGGCCTCACCCACCAACCACCCCCTCCCCCCCCCCCCCCTCCCCTCCACCCTTTCCCCCCACCTCACTCAGAGGAGACGTACATAGTGGACGAGGCAATCACGCTCTTCCGAGCCAACGTGCTGAGAGTCCCTTTTGTTCCTTTACCTCACCTACCCAAACCCACCTCACCTTTCCCACCCCCACCCGTCACGCACTCAGAGGAGACGGACATAGTGGACGAGGCAATTACTCTCTTCCGAGCCAACGTGCTGTTCCGCCGCTTTGACATCCGCGGCCCAGCGGACAAGCTACTGGTGTACCTGACCCTCTACATCAACATGGCTCTCAAGCGTATCGACTCCTGCCCCTCCGAGGCCGAGGGCATCCGATTGCTGATTAATCTGGGGCTGGAGCCCTTTCCCATACCGGGCGACCCTGGCTTTCCACTCGCTGGACTGTTCGCCACTCCGACTAGCCGTCTGGAGGCAGGTGCGTGCATTTTGAGTCCATTCAAAACCCATCAACTTGAGGCTTCAAAGCCCTATGACCCGTTCAACCGGGGCGGACAAGCTGCTGGTGTACCGGACCCTTTACATCAACATGGCACTCAAGCGCATCGACTCCTGCCCCTCCGAGGCCGAGGGCATAAGGCTCCTCATCAACCTCGGATTGGAGCCCTTCCCCATTCCGGGAGACCCGGGCTTCCCGCTTGCTGGATTGTTCGCCACGCCGACCAGCCGCCTGGAAGCAGGTGCATGGCTTTTGAGCTGACTTAAAGCCCTTGAGGTGACTTTTGAGCTGACTTAAAGCCCTTGAGGTGACTTTTGAGCTGACTTAAAGCCCTTGAGGTGACTTTTGAGCTGACTTAAAGCCCTTGAGGTGACTTTTGAGCTGACTCAAAGCCCTTGAACCTGGGCCTGGAGCCGTTTCCCAGACCTGGTAGCCCCTGCTTTTCACTTGCTTGCTTATTTCACGCTCTTATTGACTTGAAGCAGGCCGGTGGGGCACAACGGCCGCCATATTGCTTCTGAGGATTGTCAAACGCACTGGTCGCCTTAATGCCTCCCACCAGCCAGCTCTGTGTGTGGTGGCTTTTGATGTGCCTCGAAAACCGTGAGGGTGGATTCTCGCCAGCCAGCTTTGTGCGGCTAAGAGCTTTGTGATTGCGGTGAGTTTCTTGCGTCTGGTTACGATACGACTTGTTGTGCGCTCATGCATGGTGTTTCGTTTCCTCCCAACCCAACCCCCAGAACAGAGACACTGCGGACGCACTTGCACCTTCTCACACCCCCCATCCTTCCCTCCTCTTCGCCCCCACCACCCCTTCCCCCTCACTTTCCCCCCCTCCCCGAAAGAGAGACGCTGCACAAGTACTTGCACCTTCTCATTCCCCCTCTCCTCCCCCTCCCACCCCTTCCTCACCTCCTCCCCGCAACAGAAACACTGCGGACGCACCTGCAGAGTGTGAGGGAGGAGACGAGCAACCGGCTGCTTTTCGAGTCGACTAAACAGTCAACCCCCGACCCCCACCACCCCTCCCCTTTCACTTTCCCCCTTCCCACAACCCCTCACCTTCCCCCTCTCCCCGCAACAGAGACACTGCGGACATACCTGCAGAGTGTGAGGGAGGAGACGAGCAACCGGCTGCTGCAGCTGGTGTATCTGCCGGACGGCTCGCCCAACAAGTGGTGGCTCTCCTTCAGCAAGCGCAAGTTCATGAATGTCGCCATGCCCTTGTGATCACACACAGCTTATCCATGTCGCCATGCCTTCGTGATCATGGCATACACATCTGATGAATGCCGTCATGCACGCCCCTCTGACCATGCATGGTTGATCCGTGCCGCCATGAACATACACACACTTTGTTCTCAAATCTTAGCTGTTTGTACAAAGCGCAGGTTTTAGACCAAGCCAAGTTCATGACACGGTTGTGTTTCTTGCAAGTGAGCCCCTAACTGGAACAAAAACCCTGTCTTGTGCATTGATGAGTGAGGGTTTTACTGTTGCTTGGAAAAGGGTGGTAGACTGGGTCTGAGATAAAACGGGTAGTGGTTGTTTCAATCTCTTCTATACCTTCCCAATTCCCTACAATGATGCGAAAAGGTGGAAAATAATGTAGAAACTTGTATAAGGAAATGTATAAGACTCATTCAAAACAAAAGAATTGGCCAATGTTCGGGCCAGTATGCAATACAGAGGCACGCTTAGCGCGTCCACAAATCAACCCACCAATAAATCAATCTCATCAGATTACCCCCGCATGCTCGCCTCGCCCGCGAATATGTTTAGTGAAGCGGCTCCCTGGGGAACTCCTCCACGGGGCTGAGCTGCTTGGCGCGGTGGTACTCGGTGTGCGCGCAATCCACGGAGAGCACCGAGCTTGACTCGTACGACCGCGGCGTGCCGTCCAGGAACCCCACGCCCTCCTCGCTGTCCGACGAGATCGGACGGTGCAGATTCGCGATCAGGCGCTGGAAATCCGCGGCGCGCGCGGCGTGGTCGGGGCGGTACGTCTGGCCGAGCACGCCGTGCACGTCGTCGGTGTGCTCCAGCTCGACAATCCCCACGTTGATGTGCGCCTCGGCATCGTTGGGGGTCTGCAGCTTGGGGTTGGCGACGCGCAGACGCAGGTCGAGCGACACGAGCCCGTCGATCGCGAGCGTGTAGTAGTCCACATCATACGGCCCTTCCTTCTCCAGCGCCGCGAATCGCAGCGTCAACCCGCCGTCGCTCGTCACCTCATCGCCGACGGCCATTCTCGGGATCTCCTCGCCGTCGATCTCGATCGTCTTCATGAACCCCTCGCCGCGCTCCTGCTGCTTGCCGCCGCGCGCCGCGAGGCGCAGCTTGTGATCCGCGCCGGCCGCGAACCACACGAGCCCGAGCTCCTTGATCCACGTGTGCACGACCTTGCCGTCCACCACGAGCGCCGCGTTCTCCGTGTCGTCCGAGTAGTACCCGCGCAGCAGCATGTTCACGTGCAGGTCGCGGTCCGACAGCAGGCAGAACACCTTGTCGGGCCGCCCGTTGAAGTCGAAGTGCGTCCCGAACGCGCCCACCAGATGCGGGTGGTTGACGACGTTCGCGGCGGGGTTGCACTCGCCGCCCGTGCGCACCTGCAGCGCGATCATCGCGGATTTTACAAGGGCCGGAAGTCACCGAAGAAGGACAACTTTGTGATTTTTCCGTCACAGATTCCGGTCACGGGAAAGTCATGGCTGGAAGTCCCAGGCTGCCGGGTCACGTTGCCAGTGACGCCTCAACCACCGAAATGTATCCCAAAAGTCACAAAACCCTCACGTTTCCGTGACACTCCAAGTCACGCCTATTTGACGGATTTTCCACTTTTGCGTACCTACGTCTAATGTACCTTATAGGTCACCGAAACATGACACCAAACCAACACCGCCACGTCAGCGGACACGTGGTGTACAGTGACATCTCTGCGTAACAACTACACCGCCGACCAAGAGTACGTACGCCAAGTGTTCCGACGCGTCCGCGAATCGGGGCTCGACACTTGTCCTTACACCCCATGTTTATAGACGGCCCAGATGCAACACAGTGTCTTCCACATCGATGACTGACGCACGTCCACGTATCGCCCACGCCATCCGCCAAGCTTTCCTCCATGCCGTCGATATGACCACACCTGTACAGTCAAGATTTGACACACGCCACCGATGCGTGTTCACCACCCACCTGCGAAACACATCTGACCGTACATCCACCGAATATGTCACGGATGTAAACCCGCAGTAGACACGATAATCGCTGACCTCATCTAAGCCGTCCATGGCAAACCTATCGGCGAACTAGGACGATGTTACCAGCGAGCACTCACGGCCAAGATGCGCAGCTCAAAACAAATCCAATCATCCGACTACCTGCGATCCAAGGGCCACGGTTGTTCCAAACGGAACACTATCCTCGCATCTCTGGCTCGGAGATCTACGGCGCACCGAGGTCCGTCAACTATGCGCGACCCTAAACCCTCAGTACTTGGCCAATCTACGTCCAGCATAGCCCGGCCCATAGCTTTCGCCAAACACAGAGCGACGCCTCCCAGCCTCTGACTCCTATCCACATAACCTGGTTACGACACATCTGGCCCGTCCAACGCGGGGCCTACCTACCACTACCACCGTCCATCACGCGACTCGGTGCGCCGCCGCAGTGTCATATCAACATCCTACCGTCCATCCATTTCCGCACGATTATCGCGATTCGACCACAAATATCCGACGCCCTGTATTCCTCCATAAATGTCTGTATGCACTGGCTAGAGTTATCCACGTGGGTGCTAGGCAAGGTGTCCACTTCGTGCGAAAAAAGCAATAAACATTGTTTTATTCCCTCAAATATACGGATTATACGGATTACCCCCTCACATCCTCCACTCAACCACTCACACAAGCTACTACACAACACCCAGCACTACAGAATGCCACACCCTATGATTCAACACACGGAAACCCTGGCAGTAGTTTCACACAACATTGCACTTCCTAAACCCTCCCAACGCGGAGTTAGGCGTCCAGACACGTCAGTTCAGAGAGAGATTGTCTCCCTCCCTCCCGCTCTCGCTGCCTGCTGGCGCGGCTGTCGCCTGGCGCTCGATGCCGCACGAAGAAAGGCGCAGGCCATGGCGGCCCCATGCCCATGAGGAAGTGGGTGCGTCGTACGACGGCTGGAACTCATCGACCGCCGCCATGACGTCCGTCAGTGCACACTCGCGGAGGCCGTCCACGATCTGCGCGTTGACACCCGCAGAGTTGGACAGCCTTCCCTTGCGTGTCTCCCAGAAGCGGATGGCATCGGTCACCTGCACGTGACAAGTAACGACAGGGGGTTAGGATTTTTCCCTTCCACATCCCTTCTGTGAACCAACGGCGCCCAGGTTCATTCCTTACCACGTGCTCGAGCCACGCCATGTGGTACAGCTTCAGCGTCACAGTGCCGTTGATCATACGCGGCTTGAACGCCGCGCGTGCACAGGCCGCGAATGCCCCAGACGCAAAAGGCATGCCGCGGCGGTCCTCGCTCCACTTGGAGATAGCGAAAACCTTTGCATTCACACAGGTGACTGTCAGGCCGCATCCCACAGACATGCGATGCATACAAAAACGTGACTTACCCTCCCCATCCAACGTCAAAGCAAGTCGCTCCCGGACCCTCGCCGCCGAACGTGCCCTAGGTGCCTCCCACAGGCTTCGCGCGTCCCGTTCGTCGCGGAAAAGCCCCAGCTTCGGCAGCGCAATGTCGCGCACGCGTCCAGCAGCCGCCGTCTTCCAGTCGCTCAGGGTGCGGTTAAGGTCAGCGCAATGTCGCGCAGGAAGAAAACGTCGCGCGCCCGGGGCGCGCGACAGGCAGTACAGCAGCGGAAGCATTGGGTGGGCCCATCCACAGGATCGACCCGGGGGGGTCGACCTGCTCTGATAGCATGTCAGAATCACTAGGAGTAGGGCCTAGGCTTAGTAGCCTAGGCCACAGTGAGACTAGAAGGTTGTGTCAAGCAGGATCGAGAATGATAGAAACAGAATGGATGATTGCACTAGCAGGCAGGTTGGTACAAATAGGAAACCCTAAAGGGCTGTACTCACTATTGAGTACCCCACTGCAGGCTAGACAAATAACATATTCTGACACACCCCCATAGTCAAAGTGGGGTATAATCAGCATAGCAAGCAGTCACAGAGCAGGTTCACAAGTGCAAGCAAAGCTAGAGGCATTCACAGAGGGCAAGTGAGGAGGAGGAGGGAATGTGAGAGGAGAGGAGATGGGAGGCGACGACGGAAGCTGCAGACACACGGTAGCGGCTGGCTCAGTGGCTACCGAAGCAAAGGCCCGGACTACAGGAGTAACTGGCTCTGCGGCTAACTCTGAGCGGCTGGAGCAACTGACCCACGGGCGACTGGCGACTACCGGAGATTGTAGCCTCCGGACTACTGGCGCTGCTGGCGACACGACGGCTCAACCTCCGCTCAACCTCCTCTAACTGTCCCACACCCCTCTCACACACCCACTGCTGCACCCCTAGCTCCACTACCACGGCACCCCCCTAGCGCCACTCCCCTCGGCTCCCACACATCAAGGGCTTGTTAAGTAGCGGGTCAGTGCGCCCATAACCCCCCGGGCCAACATGCCTGTAACCCTTCCCTAGGATCATTCGGGGATCACCAGTGGACCTCTGACACCCCCCCGCACTGGGATGCCCGAAGTGCACACACTGGGATTCGAACCCGAGACCTTCGCTCTGACTGTCCCACACCCCTCTCACACACCCACTGCTGCACCCCTAGCTCCACTACCACGGCACCCCCCTAGCGCCACTCCCCTCGGCTCCCACACATCAAGGGCTTGTTAAGTAGCGGGTCAGTGCGCCCATAACCCCCCGGGCCAACATGCCTGTAACCCTTCCCTAGGATCATTCGGGGATCACCAGTGGACCTCTGACATCGACTTGCCACTCTTCTCCAGCTCAAATGGTGTTCCTGGCTTGACACCAATGTCATCCATTGCCTTGCGCCATTCCCTCCACCGATACCATTGCCGTTTATGCACGAGGTGACGAACGTCATCCTCAATGCACCCCTCCAGCGCTGCCATCTCGCCCACGTTCAGTTCCGCCATATCACGAATGCTCCTGCGGCGTAAGCGTACGCCGCGTCCTCCTCCCTCTGGTATGCGCCCAGACGAACCTGACGGCATGTACTCGGATCGGCCGTTAACTTTGTGCACCACTTCCTGACACGCGTCTCAAACCAGACTCCCGTGTACTCGCTCGTGCCACCCCTCTTCTTCTCCCCTATGCCAGCACACGCCTTTGCCTTTGCCGCTGCAGATCGTGGCTTTCGCAGCCCACCGACTTGACCCTTCTCTAGTGAGGTATCAGGGGTGTTCGGGCTGTGCGTCTCCGTGCTTTCTTTGCGCGCCTTGAGGGCCGCGCCAGTCTCATCCTGCTGTTGGCGGGCCCATATCGCGGGTGAAGGAGGTAGTGGATCTGGCGTCTCGTGCAGCATATCGGCCAGAGTCTCCTGTGCGGCCTGACGCTCCGCATAGTTCTCATCCGCGGGTGACCGTGTGAGTAGAGGCGTCCCACACGTGCTCAGCTCATGCGCACATGCGGCCCGGAGCTCATGTAGGTTGTACCCCAATGCCTTTGCGATGCTCATGACCGCTAAGGCCAACACGAACCCGTCCACCTCCATGTTGGTTCGCTCACGCGAAAGCCGTGCCAGATCCAGGCGCACGTCATCTTCCTATGGGAACATCAGCACACCCTGGTCTCCGACTACTGGAATCGGCTGAAGGGGCACCACAACCTCCTCCATTAATAGTTGTGTCAGAATCCCAACCACTAGACCATTGGGATAAAAGGGCTTGTTTCAGTAGCGGGTCAGTGCGCCCATAACCCCCCAGGCGAACGCGCCTGTAACCCTCTCCAGGATCAATCGGGCATCCACGGTGCAGATCTACTGACACCCCCCCACACTGGGAGGCCCAGGACTAAGCACAGCGGCAACGGCCTATATGTGCATACACCGGGAATCGAACCCGAGACCGCTCTGATACCATGTCAGAATCCCAACCACTAGACCATTGGGATAAAAGGGCTTGTTAAGTAGCGGGTCAGTGCGCCCATAACCCCCCAGGCCAACGTGCCTGTAACCCTTCCCTAGGATCAATCGGGGATCACCAGTGGACCTCTGACACCCCCCCGCACTGAGATGCTCGAAGTGCATACACCGGGATTCGAACCCGAGACCTTCGCTCTGATAACATGTCAGAATCCCAACCACTAGACCATTGGGATAAAAGGGCTTGTTTCAGTAGCGGGTCAGTGCGCCCATAACCCCCCAGGCGAACGCGCCTGTAACCCTCTCCAGGATCAATCGGGCATCCACGGTGCAGATCTACTGACAAGTTGCACCATCAGCTCTCCAGCAGCGAGACTGCATACATCGGCGTGCATGCCGCGTCTGAAGTCCTTTGCCGTGACACCGTCGCATGACACCCACTTGCGAACCGTGGTGAAATCCGACCTCACGAGAGCTTTCACGTACATGCACACAAAAACCCCACAGTCCTTGTCGTTGGTCTGCTGTGGAATCACTTCTTTCTGCCAGGATGACATAGTGGGTAAGGGACGTCAGAACACACTCCATGACAACACTCCAAAACACTCTAGCGGGTCGCCAGAACACCACGGTCATACGACTTCAATATTCCTCACCGGTATAACTATGTGCTCTGCTTCTCGCACAGTCTCAGCAGCCTTAACAGGGTTGTCTGTTGGCAGCTGCTTCTCGTGGATCATGAGCAGTGTCCTGTGTCAAGCACCAGCAATTGTGAGGCGTCTTTGCATCAGACATCTGCGTACAGCAGGATGCACAATAGCACAAAGCACTTACTTCCTCACACCCGCTATGACAGACGGGTCCCTGGCGTGCATGCCGCTGCTGTCGTAGTGCACGAGCTTGACACCTTCCGTTACCCTGTCGCCTCGTTTCCCCGACGAAATGGTCGCAAGGTTAAGAGCTATGACCAGTGAGAAGTGGCTCCTGTCCAGGCAGCAGAGGGCAGGCCAACATAATGAGCACCGAACTGGGATCGGAGGTCAAGGCTATACGTGCGTCCATACAATACACCCACCTTGCAATGATAGGAATGGCCACGTAATCCAGATCGAAAATACACGGTGACCCTCCCATCGGCCAGGTCTTATCAAGTTGCGTAGCGTATACGAAAGATTTTGTGTCGAGCGGGAACCAAGACTTTCCGTCTTTCAGTTTAGGATGTCGGATGTTGAGAAGTCTGCACGCACGGCCACAACACTCAAATCACGAGTTAAATACATGCGTCACTCTGATAAAGCCACAACCGTACAACGGCATGTAATCTCTTACATGTTGTGGAAGTCGACTATGGTGTCGGCAAGATACTTCCCGTCGGCGGTAGAAAGAGCATCCTTAGCGGTGATCTGACATCCAACCCCGTGAGGGCCGAAGAGGGTGAGAGTTTTGAAATCTCGACGCACAGCCGGATCTCGTAGCCTCCTGATCAAGTCGTCTGGCTGGTCGTCTACGGGCGACCCACTGCCTCCGACGTTCCACCCCGATGCACATGACCTGGTCTCGCGCTTATCACCCGCGCCTTTCTGCAGGTCAGCATCATGCTCATTTGTGTCCGTTCCAAGTGGGCGAGTAAGCATACGGTCCAAAAGGCCCGTGACGTGAGGACCGCGTGGCGGAGACCCTTCCCTATCCTCGCGCTTAATACCCCATCCACGAATTCTCATGGTGCTGGACGCAACCATCAAGGGACATATAGGGTAAGGCCAGAACTGTTCTCGGCTGGACAGGCAGTAGCATAAGCTTTTTGTCTAGCTGCTCGATCTTCTATACGGACACATTTGGCCTGTGAGGAGCAATAGGTGGGACAGGAAGGAGATGGATTGCTAAGCGGACGGAATTCGGACACGCAGAGACATCACATCACGTTTCCACGTGTCCGCTGGTGGTGAATGCGCGCCAAAATAGAGGGTTCTGGATCCGAGGTTAACCCTTTGGTTTCGTGCTATCCAATGCCTAATTGTTTGATCCGTAACAACGTCTTTCCGCAACAAGAGAAGAAAACACTAGTACAGCGCGGACAGTTCAAATTATATCGAAGCCGCCGCAAATCAAGATAGGCCAATCAAGATATGCCGAGCTGTACATTGTCACATCACATATGATCGGACATGCATGCCGGTGTGGTTGGATACATGCGCACGGCTGATGTACCGTTTATAGGGTGCTTCGACATTAAAACGCATCTATTAAAATAACATAGAAACACAAAACCCAGCATACATCGTACTATCCACCCGGTCACCAGCGGTAAACGGGTAGTACTTGAACCCTTGCCACACGCTAATAGCTGCTACCGCTGACGGAGGAAACAAGAGGTGAGCTAAAGCACAGGA